ATATTACTTTCATAAATTCTGTAGTTAAATTCTCAATAAAGTAACTCATTATTTTTGCATACGCTGGTTGCATATCAGTGGTTATTTGGGCCTATTTTCACATGATTTATTCACTGATTTTTTTCTAGTTTGGTGAGATTACATTTGCTTCATATACTTGCCATGTAAACCATGATTGCAAATCAAGATTGCATGCTATTTTGTCCACCATGCTAGCATCTTTTGGCCATACTTTGAACTAGAAATGTTCATGTTTTGGGACTGCCTTGGCTCTGTCTTCATGCTTCATGATCAAATAATGCATGCTTTGTATAGCTGTGAGTCATTCCGTGTGCCTAGTTTCAAGTTTCGGGTTTCATCTTATGCATCGGGTGCCATTTTTTCATGTTTCGGGGCTATTTAGCATCATATTTCAGTGCTGGAATTTGTGAGTTTGCATGCCATCTTGCATCCCTTGCCATGCCTTGTTAGAGTTACATGTTATGCCTTAGGTTCGGTCCTCGGTTTGCGTGCATGCGTGCATGCATTTTGAGAGTCTCATTTTCACCTAATGGCTACTGATGTGAGTGTGGCTGAGGTTTGCTCATGTTAGTGTAAGTCCATTATGTATTGTGTATGCCATTTCATTTCATAGCATTGTGTATGCTAGGTTGTATGTTAGAGCATTGTGTATGCCTCGTTACATCGTGCATTGTGTATGCCATTTCATAGCATTGCGTATGCTAGGTTGCATGTTAGGATTGCATTCATGCATGTCATGCATATTGCATTGTTCTTGGGATAGGAGTTAGCCCAAGTACGGGAAACGAGGGACGTTTCGTACTCCGAATGACGGAACGTGTCTCAGATCCCAGTCGCCGACACTCCGAATTATCCATGATGGAGTCTAGGCCTTGTTGTGTCCATATGTGCATGTAAAAATAAATTGATGTATATTATTGATTGATATATATTGATTGATGTATTGATATTTTTTGTCTATTACAAATGGTTCCTTATATAGATGTAGGTGTAGTGGATGGTGTGTAGTGGATGGTGATAGTGGTGTAGTGGGTTAGGTTTAGTGGAGTAGGTGAGGTGGTAGTGGTGGTAGGTGATGGTAAATTCTAACAGCCCCCCGCAAACTCAAGGAGGATAGAAACTAACCAACTTGAGTTTGAAGAGAGGAACAAAACAAGAAAATACATAAAAAAAAAAGGATAGGAGACACTGTATGGTCGTGTCAGACCATTGGTGAAGACACTGAATGGTGGTGTCATAACGTTGTAGAGGACACTGTATGGGGGTGTCATAACGTGGTAGAGGACACTGTATGGCGGTGTCAGACCGATGTAGAAGACAGTTTATGGGGTCATGTCGGACCGTGGTAGAAGACAGTTTATGGGGTCATGTCGGACCGTTGTAGCAGACAATTTTGTGACAGTTGTTGTGACAGTTTACGGAGTCTTGCTGGACCCTTGTAGAAACTAACCGGAATCAATGTCGGGACAGTTTACAGAGTCTTGTCGGACCCTTGTAGAAACTAACCGGAATCTAAGTCAGGACAGTTTACAGAGTCTTGTCGGACCCATGAAGTAGCTAACCGGAATCAATGTCGAGACAGTTTACAGAGTCTTGTCGGACCCTTAAAAAGTCGGACCCTCAAAAGGTGTGCCCAATCTTTCATCAAAAGGCGTGCCATCAAAAGGCGTGCCCACTTTATCAAAAGGCGTGCCATCAAAAGGTGTGCCCACTTTATCAAAAGACGTGCCATCAAAAGGTGTGCCCACTTTATCAAAAGATGTGCCATGAAAAGGCGTGCCAGTTTGCCGGGCGTCAAGAGGCGCGCGATGCGCGTGGCTGCCTCGGCTATAGGCAAGGATAAGAACAATTTTAATGTTATGGGTATGTGTGCAAAATGCATGCTAAATTGTACGCAATGTCATAGCAGCATGAGTGAATTCAGGGACTGCACCATTTGGACATCAGATTGTTCACCTTTGAATTATTATTTTTTTTAAACAACTTAGGTTGATTGGGTTGTCATTTGTCACCCCTAAAAAAAATTCAACACGTTGAGTATTGATCTGAGTCCACTCAAAATTGTAAACACCGTCCAACCCAAGTCTCTCAAAGCTTAAATTCAATTTTTTTAAAAGGCAAGTATATAGTACTTATAAAAGTTATGCCCTAAAGTAATATTGGTAAAATAGAACTTTTTTGTTTTCTCCAAACCATGGAAGACCATGGTAATATGTTTTTCAGTGTTATAAAAAGGAGCACATGGTTATTTAAACTCCCAGCTGGCTCTGCTCCAACGCATGTATAAGGATGCGCGAGCAGAGATAAGCGTGCTAAGGGCAGAAAACAAAGAGCTGAAGCGGAAGGCCACCGTGATGTTCCGATTTGGAGGTCCACCATATGCTGCAGTGGAGAAGTATGGGGGAGTGAACGTGCTCGGCGGACAAGGAAATACGGAGACCGGACTGGCACGGGACACCCAAGATAAAAGTAAGAAGAAGAGACCTGCAGTAGAATAGAGAAGGGAAAAGAAAAATCCCACTGTGGGTGTGGTTGTTTTGTTTGTATTTTTTTTTTTTTGTGTGTGTGTGTAAAATGATGATCGGGGTGAGGCCCGATATGAAGAAAATGAGTTTGCAGTTTGTCTTCTTCCTCTTTTTTCTTTTTTTTTTTTTTTTTTTTGTTTTTTTGGTTTTTTTTTTTTTTTTGTTTTTTTTTTTTTTAAGAAATAAAGAAAAATAAATAAAAATAATAAATTGGGAATCAAAAACGGAGGAGAGAGAGGACAAGGCACATGGATATCTTGGTGTAAAGAAATAAAAGAACAAATAAAGAAAGTGAGTGGTGTGGGTCTTTAGAGAGAGATAAACCGTGAGTGGTCTGGAAAGTTGACAAAAGAGTGGGTGTCGTGTGCAAGATTGGTTTAAAAAATAAAAAGGAGGATGGGTGTGTGGGCAAAAGGGAATGGATGATATGGCTGCCCAAAAAGTGTTTTTATTGTGGTGCATCCAGACTTTGAAAGGTGAAAAATTATAAAATAAAGAAAAGTGTTTTTTATTGTGTGTCCACCTCAACAAACTCCACTCATTCAAACAAGTGGTCTTAGTATATGTTAGTGCTGCCCAAAAGTGTTTTTATTGTGGTGCATCCAGACTTTGAACACACCTCTGTCGACCCCAACGTCGCTGCAGAACTCGTTGATCAACTCTTCGTCCCTCTTCTGCATCTTCCACCCAACTCTCTCTGCCAATTCGTGCATCCTCTCCTTCTGATCCTGCGTGAATTTTGTTCTGAACCGCTTCCCCCCACTGGAATTCGCAGCTGTCGTGCCGGCCGTGGGAGCCATTGATGGGTTGTTTTCTGGCGGTCACTTGATGAGAAAGAGAAGGAGAAGAGGGTGTGGCGAGGATCTTGCCGCCGAAGCTGCACATGAAGCAGACACGTGGCTGGGTGATGGTGGCGTTGTTGATCTTGCCACCGAAACGGGTGTGTGGACGGGTCCAGAAAGGAGAGACGTGAGCTGTTAGAACCGTCCCAACCACAGTTATCCCTGATGGCTGTGAGCTCGAAGGGTGAGGTGTCGGTGGCGAGCCACTGCTCGACCGTGAGGAGTTGCTGGGAGCAGGGCTTGTGGGGCCCAGTGAGTGGAGGTATGGAATCCCACGGGCAGCTCCAAGGGCAATGGAATTCAGATCTGCCTTGATCAATTTAGAAAGCGCCTCAGCCTCACTGTCGCTTCTGTTGTTGGTGGTGGTAGTTGGTTCGTTGATTTGGGTCGTATTGCTGGAGGAGGAAGTGTGGTACTAATCCAACAACCCAGCAGATTACATGCTCAATCCAACTCAGATTATTGAGAGGACGAGCTAAACAATCTGGCCAGGAGTGCACCAGAACACACCACTAGGAATCACCTCCGGAGGGAGCTTTCTCTCTCTAGAATCTAGAGAGAGAGGCTCTACTTTCTTCCCCTTTGGACTTGCAGAGATTGAAGAGAGACTCGGCTTGAGAGCGCTGGTCGTTGGCGGTGGACATGGAATTTGTTAGCAGTAGCAACAAGAAGATCAAATAATTTGTGGCAGCGGAGTGAATGTAGGAAGATGAAGTTACAGTCTGGGTATGTGTAGAGGTCCGGCGGGCAGCCAAGGCGAGGCGGCCGCCCGTCGGTGAAGCAGAATGATTAGGTTGTTAACCTGGCTCTGATACCATGTAACAAATAGATGTATTTGATTGATTTGTGTTGATGTTGTACAAGATTTATAAATTACAATTCCTATACAATCTATATATAGAAGAAAATGTGGTAGTAGGTTTAGTGGAGGTGATAGTGGGTTAGGTGAAGTGGAGTATATAGAAGAAAATGTGGTAGTAGGTGTAGTGGAAGGTGATAGTGGGTTAGGTGAAGTGGAGTGTGTGGTGAAGTGGAGGTAGGTGAAGTGGAGTGTGTAGTGGAGTAGGTGAAGGTAAAGATGGGAAATTCTAACACAATTGCATACACAAATAACGGAATCCAGTTCCAAATGTTGTTATTGGGTACTACTCGTGGACATTATTCAGAGTCCAGAACAGTTCATAAACCTTAACCTTGTCCAACTAAACTTCCAAAATATTATCCTTTATTTATGTGCTCCAGAAACCATAGAACTTAATAGCCCCACTACTTGTTAGCCACAAAAAACCAATGAAATCTCTCTCTCTCTCTCATATGATTTTGCAAATTGTTTGTGCACCTCGGCTAGTGCTCAAATAGATATGCTGTATTCGCTGGAATTGCAGTTTCTTTTCCTTCTTGTTTATTCTTATTTTTATTTGTATTTGCAGCTGGATGGATGCTGCCAAGTTCTTAACGGGGGCTTCATCGGTGGGCAGCATAGCCATTCCAATTATCCTCAGGCACGCAGATTTGATTGGAGCAGGAGCTATGTGGATCGAATTTTTCTCCTTTTTCATATTCGTCTGCACGGTCATGTGTTTTCATCGCGCTAGCCTTGAAGATGAGTGGTGATGAATATATATTCAGGACATCAAAGTGATATATACTCAAATCATTGTGATTGGTTCTATCACCATCATCGAGTGTAAAACAGGTTTAATGGCATAACTAGTAGGAAAGTAGGAAATGAAAGGGACATAATTGTCCACTTCTACTATGTAAAAAAGCTAGAATTTCTTTTTTATACATCTTTGAAAGACTGACTTGCTGTATTTGAATCCCCAGCTTGAGTTTCCACTGTTCTAGTGTAGACTTTAATGCATGAAGAAGATTTTTTTGAACAAGAATGCATGAAGAAGATTGATTTCATGAAATGCCCAATGTTGATTTTCAAAGTTGTTTGCTTTTAAAGTTCTAAAAATTCAAGTGCATTCATATAACTTATGACTCGGTGAGTCGTAACTTCAATGACTTGGTGGAAATTTGGAAATCAAATTAATTCTCTTTGGAGGAGGGCTATATGTAGCAAATACAAAATAGATGAGGCTTGTTGGAATCCACCGGTAAGTTTCTCCTACAAACATTCTAGAGTGTGGAAAGACATCTTATCTATTGGGAACCATTGCAGTAATATTTTCAATTTTTATGCGGATAATTGTCAAATTAAAGTGGGGGATGGAAATAGAATCAAGTTTTGGCATGACAAATGGTGTGGCAACACTTGCCTTAAGAATGATTTTCCCCTCCTTTTCAATCTCTCAACTGATAAAGATGGTTCTCTTCATCAATACTTTGATAGGAAAACCAGCCCAAATACTTGGAATTTTCCCATTAGAAGAATGATGCTTTCTTGGGAATTGGAGGAAGAAGCTAGTTTGATTGAAGCCCTATTTGTCATCTCGTAATGAGGTCAAAGATAGAAGTCTACACTTCTTTTAACAACTAAGGCAGATCGG